AAAAACAAGGAATGAACAAGAGGGTTTTATTGCCTTTCTTCCATTTATCTTGCTTTGCGTTGCCATTGCCGCATCGTCTTTAAATTCTTGCATCAGACGCAGTGAAGCAATATAGGGTCGGCCTGAAATGACAATCAAAATTAGGTAGAGTCAAATAGCATAAAAAATTATTCTTTATGATCAGTATTAGTATAAGTATTATTACTTCATCAGTATTAGTATTATCATTGTCAATCTCAAATGCATTAAAGTTATAATAAATATTGATATGGCAAAATGACCAAAGGGTAAGGCAGGTTTCATAACGAGAAAGGCTATATCAGTAGCAACGCGAGGAGGTGTCATGGCGTCTGATTCTATTTTTGGAAAAAAGAGCACATGGGGTTTATTTTGATGACGTCACAAAAGTTACGGATGCTTTGTGAATGTGGTCGATCGTTTTGGTCTCTCTAGTTTTTGAAAAGGATGGAAGATAATGATTTTAATGATTATATTCCCATTGAACAATTATCAAAAGAGACGCCATGACACCTCCTCGGGTTGCTACTGATCTAGCCTTTCGTTTCCATAACGCAGAAGACACAATGGTTCGTTTCTGCTCGAACCAAAACAAACAATGAGACCAGCTTTAGGATCACGAGACTGTTACTGATTCTGAGTGTGTTAATGACCACACTAAAGAAGGGGAGACATCATGAAAAAGAGAAGATCCTACAACAGAAAAAAGAGAAGATTCTACAGCAGAAATGATTTTTTTTTTTTACCACCCCAAATACACATTACCATAATGTCACCATTAACGTTGCCCTCTTGAGCTAGTTTTACGTCTTATGAAAAATGTTGGAATGGCTATTTCAATATATAAAAGAAAGTATAATAATGAATGAGGTATCGCAGTATTAAAGAATGGTGAAAAAATACGGCAAAAGAGAAGCCAGTTATTCATGTATTTAGTTTATGCTAAATGAACTACAGAATCAATATTACTGAAAATCTTATTGAAGTATTCTTGTTATGGTAAAGTATCTTGGCCGGAGAAAGAGAAAGCCAGTTATATGTAAAAATGATGAACGACAGAAACAATATTACTGAAATTCTTTCTGAAGTATTCTTGTTATGCTGAGACTAATTTCGACGAAAAGGGCCAGTAACACAACAATAGACATTATTTAGGGATATTGTTAGTAACTTCAGTATTAAGATTGTCTACCATTAACTTGAAGAGCGAAGCGGGTTTTGAACCTATATACAGCTTTAAAAACTTTCAGTATCCCCTTCTGTCACGTCAATAATTATGAAATTGGTCGCATTCCGAAGACAGAAATATATATCTGATAAAGCGAAATGTATCTATGACACTTTATCGTAGGCATTCTATATTTACAATCCCTCTTGTTCTCACCACCGAATTGAAGTATATATCTTGCCTTTGAGAATATTCAAAATTAAACTTTCCATCTGTAATACGATAATAACGTTGATACTACACAGACAAAGAATAAGATAAGCAGTATATAACAACATAAAGATACACAGAAAACAAGATACATAGGAACTTACTTTGATATCCGTTTATAGATGATTCTATTTGCCCATCAAATCGAATCCTGCGCGAATTACAAAAGTAAATATTAATGGTCGTTACTAATATAACACAACATCAATAAAGATACATATATTCACATAATCTGTTCAATTTATAAATCAATCACTACATTGTTTTTCTCTTTTCCTTTTTTTAGCTAAAAAAAATCAAACTTTGGTGTTATATTCACATTTTTTTCCTTTCCTTACTGATCTATTTTCTTTTTTTACGCAAATTTATCCGCAAAATTTGAAATCATTCTTTATAGACAAACTGAATCCTCAAAACACTAACCATAACTACCCTGCAACATGTTTATACAACAAAACATAAGCATAAAAATCACACTTAATACAAGCTAATCAAAGCCTTTAAGTCAGAGCTGAAGAAACCACATTGTGAAACCTCGGATATGGTATCTGAATCCTGACGACGTTTTGCCTCCGTCAGATGAAGAGGAGGTGAAGGTGAGAGTGAATGTCTTTGGCCCGTCGAAGACCGCGCCCTCAGATACCTCATCCAGGTTACTGCCGCAGGATCTGTCAGAGGGTAGGAATTGGCGTGAAAGTTTGTGTGTGTGTGTGTGTGTGTGTGTGTGTGTGTGTGTGTGTGTGTGTGTGTGTGTGTGTGTGTGTGTGTGTGTGTGTGTGTGTGTGTGTGTGTGTGTGTGTGTGTGTGTGTGTGTGTGTGTGTGTGTGTGTGTGTGTGTGTGTGTGTGTGTGTGTGTGTGTGTGTGTGTGTGTGTGTGTGTGTGTGTGTGTGTGTGTGTGTGTGTGTGTGTGTGTGTGTTTTAAATACGTGATAATACATAAGGAAATTGTCGTGTACTCTGAGATCGTCTTCTGTTTTTCTTTGTATATGAGCGCGTATTCCTGTTAAATGTTATTTAAAAAATAATTAATTATACCAATATCC